TTTTTATACCAAATTTCGAAGCCAAAACTGAAAAAGTGTGTGTGGATCAAAATTTGACCTCGTTCGTTGGTGTTCTCCCAATAACGGCAGCATCGATACCATGAATTTAAAATCTTTCAAGTATTTTTGTATTTTCGATAAGGATTTGCGTTTCTATCAAATTTACAAAATAGCACATACCTAAGATTTCGAATTTTAAATTGGCTAATTATATATTATTATCTTCTCTCTTGGTCTTACATTTAAAGCAGAAGCAGCCTCCAAAAGCCGTAGCACATTCGTAGCAACATTGGTCAAATTTGTATTACCAGCTACGCACGTTATAGCCATTAATTCGATTTCTTCTCGTTTATGAGCTGCTAAAAGCATCAGGAGGGCAATAGCATCGTCTGCACCAGCATCTACGTCCACGACAACCAGAGGCTTTTTAATGTCCTTATTCTTTTCGCAACTATAAAATTTATGAAATATATTTTTTAAAAAGCATAATTTAGATGTTAATGTTTCATACATATTACAATAGTTAAAATTTAGTGACATTGTGCTTCAGATAAGATGATTAGATTTTTAAATGGTCAAAGTGGGACAACTCTGGAAGAAAGAAAATTTTAAGAATAAAAAGTTTGAATTAATTTGTGGTCATCAGCTAGCAACGGTGTGTAATAAGAACGTAAATGGCAGCCACTAGTTCCAGGTTTGACCCCAATCGCGGCTAGCTTGATATCAAGCAGTGTGATATCAGATTTTCAATTAAGATTTTTGATCTCAAGAGTAGCAAAAATACCCTCTAGGTAGATCTTAGTAGATTCATTTTGTTGCTCTCCATTTAGGATGATGATCATTTTTCTATCACATATTCTTCGATCAGCTTTAAAGACAGCATTTATATACGAGTTTAAAAATATTTCAATTCCATCTCTATCAATTACATTTATTAGTGCTTTAGATAAGATGATTCTAAAGAAAAGAAAATTTTAGGAGTGGAAAAAAATATGAAATATATTAATAATATATGAAATATTGATAATATTTCATATATAAAAAATATGAAATAACAGTTCTTTAATTAACTACTATATTATATGTTTATGAGAAATAAAAAAATCCAAAAATGTTTTAAACACATATAGTACAAATATTCGTTTCACATCTGCAAAATCGGTACTGAACTAATAAAAATGTACTGATTCATGTATTATATAATTTTTAATAATATAGAGAACGTTGAAATTGCATACCAAATACATATATATAAAACGTCAATACAAATCGAAAGATTTTTTAATTATTTAGATACAAACGAGTACATACATACGTAATTTTGCTCGAACCAATAATTAAATACAATTTAACGTTATCTCTTCATTATTCAACCACATATTCATACGAGACAGAGTAGATTATTAAACTCGCTTACCTTACATAATAAATAAATATTGATATTACAAAGAATATTATCTTCATGTTTACTATTCTTTTTTCTTGTATCGTTTTCACATAAATTCCACTTTACATAATTTATTGTAAATATTTATTTGCAATAATAAATAAATATCACACAGTTGAAATTAAACTTGTTTACTATAAAATTGTGACAAAACCAGCAAAAATGAAGGCCATTCCAAAGTTATAACGATATGTTCATTTATTTATATATATTCATACACATATACAGTTACCTCATAAATAAAGAAGAGTATTCATATGAGGTACTTATATTCAATGGTATTGTTTGGTCGATGATTAACTTGAATGCAAATCCTGATAAAATAATCTCTAAAAGATATGATATTATAAAGTATTTATACTTAAATAAATTTATATAAGTATATACAATTAATATATATTTATTTACATGAGTTAATTTATATAAATACAAACCGAGATCAGAGTGGTGTTCCCGTTTATAATATTTTTAGAAACATTAATTCATTTGATTAACCCATATAAATTAATGCTTTTATAAGATTTTATTTAGCACGATGTTATATTTGATATACGATAAAAAATGTTAATCGTTTGAGTAAATATTACTATTATATGAACTTCCCCATATGTGTAGATAATAAGAATTGAAATTTAGCTATTTAGATGACATTTTCAAATGTTTATATTTTAAAGAATATAAATAGAAATTTTTTTTTTCTTTCTCGTTCTTACAGGTCAAATCGTATTAATTAAATTTAAATTATTTAACACATTCCATTCTTTTTGCGAGGTCTTTTTAAAATTACGAAATCGGTTCAATATATTTTGCACTTTGCAGCTAATTCTAAAGAATTAAAATTATATTAGGGAATTTGACTTGGCCGAGCATCTTAAGAGTAATAAACTTTAAACTTAAATTTATGGGGTAAAGATTAAATTTTGGCTGACATAAATACACATACTATTTCCCATTTTTGGTGTCAAACGATGCAGAAAAACTTAAAGCATCGAGAAGACTAAAAATGAGCAAATCAGATTTTCTGGCTAAAACACAACTTCCAGAAAGATAAAAAACTGTAACATACAAAAACACGTGGCTCTACATATTCCAATAGCATTAATTGGCACGATTACATATTATAATATTTCTATAATTTAAACAATTTTTTTTCGAAAAAAATAAAATTTTGCACAATGCAATAACACAGAACTCTTAAAAGAATTTCAAAGTTAGTTATTTAGTTAAAGTTTTTGCATTAACAATGTATGTGTTCGAAATATGAATATACATCTCTATTTGAGTATTAAACATCAAATAAATTCGAAAATTATTTATAATATAAATATAAATATAAAAGGATGTTCTGTTAAGTCTCGGAGGTTACTGATTGCATAAGGACAATTTCAAAATTATAAAGTGCAACGTGCAACCTTAAAAAAGCACATGGAAATTCCGGTTTGAATGGAAGATCAGCATTCAGGAGATTATTTATAGTGGCTTAAGTATGAAGAAAAAAAGTATTAACTCCTTATAGATGGGTTGACCTACCAACTTGAGATCTCATTAATTTAACCTTTATTATTAATGTCATTGTGATAAATGTTGTTGTGGCTATTGAACAGCTTCTTAGATTAGCTATCAAAACATATAAATTCCATATTTACATTTAATTTATCACATTTTCGTAAATATTTTTAGTAGTATACCTTGTGGAATAACAACGTTAAAGTTAAGTATTTAGTGTGTAATTTTATATATGATGTAAATATATATTTTGTAATATATATTATAATATATATATATATATATATATATATATATATAATAAAATTGATGCCTGCTACAAAACTATGTATAATTATATGTATATATATATATATATACCACTATTTCTCATTGCTAATACAATTGCTATTCCAATTTTATATTAATTGAATGTACAAATAATATAATTTTTATTATTTCAGATGGAACATTCACATAGCGTTAAACAAATAAGTGAGGAGTATTACCAGCTCGGAGAAGGTCCACATTGGGATGATTCACAGCAATGTTTATACTTTGTAGATATAGTTGCAAATATTGTTGGCCGTTATGATCCAGCTACAAAAACTACAAACAAAGCAATTGTTGGTAATAAAAATAATTAGATTATATCTCATACACTTATTCAATAATCAAATTATATCTTATCTGGTTTGTCGTAATGCATGAAATTGATTATTATTCATGGTATATTAATGACAGTAAATGTGTTTCCTAAGTATCTTTACATTGTTATTAATCTTGAAAATTTGAATGTCTCGATGAAGAGTATTTATAATTTCAGGAGGAGCTAAACATGTGGGTTTTGTAATACCAGTCGCAGGTACCACTGATAAATTTGTAATTGGTTTTGATGATAAAATTACTTTGATTGAATGGAATGGCAAAGCAAACAATGTTATGATTGTCAAGGATTTAGTAACTGGACTTGAACCTGAGAATGGTAGAGTTAACGATGGAAAAGCTGATTTTCAAGGGCGGTTGTACACTGGTAAATACATTTCCTTAGTAATGCTTCAATAATTACTCAATTTATGAAAACTTTATTATCATGTAATCCAAATATCCATAAATCTTATAAGTTTGCCTTTCAAATAACTTGTGCAATTATTATATTTATATTTTAGGGACAATGTTAATTGATTGGGCATCCTCTGATGTTCATTGTGGTGTTCTTGTGTCTTATTCTCCTCTGGAAAAACCAATGTTAACAACCAGAGTAAAAAATGTTGGATTATCAAATGGTTTGGCTTGGAATGAAAAAACAGGGAAAATGTACTATGCAGATTCTCTAAAACATGCAGTTACTGAATATTCTTATGACAGTAAAACTGGTAATATTGGTAAGTACTTATATATGTTAATTTTTTATGCTGTTTTTACAACTCACGAATTTTTAAATAATGATTGATTGCATTGTGTTATAGGTGAAGGAAGAGTGGTGTTTGATTCTAAGTTACCTCTGCATGGATTACCAGAGGGATCTTTACCAGATGGTATTACCATTGACTGTGATGGGCATTTGTGGATTGCTTTATTCTTTGGTGGCCGAGTTGTTCAGGTAATATCTTTACTGTTAACCATTAATTACAATTTGATCATATTGATATTGGTTAATATTGATATGGAAACTTTTTTGAATTTTTAAAATCGGCCTTAGGGCTTTGAGTGAAAACGTGGTCAAAAATGTTGCTCTTATCTGCTATATGACCCAGTAAACATGCGATATGGCCACAACATCGTGGCAATATTTTATTTAGGTCGTGTGACATGCGGTTCCCATATTCATTGTCCTCGATATTTAATGGATACGGCCGCAAATTTATGTAACTATCGAACAACTATCGAGGTTCGGTCTCTGGCGCACGTGGCGTTCGTGATACATGAAAATCGACGTTGACCCACATATGTTTGTTTATTATGATAAGACCGTCTGACGTAAGGCGTTCACCCCAGTCATGACGTCATTGGCGAATGAAAACGATTCGGTCATGACGTCATACAAAATGGCGACTCATGACGTAATAGCACCTGAAAGTGATGACGTAATGCAATTAATATTCTTTTCTGTACGAATAAGCATTTATTTACGTGAATAATAAGAAATTTTACAATATTTAAATATTACAAATTAGAATTGTAGTTTTGAAATTATAAAATTTTAACATGAACTATACTAGAAAACTTTTTACAAATTATTCAATCTTAACATATTAATAACAGTATATTTAATGAAAATTGTTGTATATCTAATGAACGTAATTCTATTTTTGGGGCGTGAAGTGTGAAGTGTTGCATAAGTATTCTATCGCCACTTCCTTATACATCAAACAGCCTGCCTATTTTTCATTATTTCATTCTATCGCCAGTTCATTGCATCAAATGCCAGGATACAGATTATGCACATATGACATACTGCCCCAAATTTTGGAAGTTTTCTAAAACAAATTCAAACATAATGTGATTTACTGTATATAATATAATATATATATACAGCTACCATATGTGTAGCTACCTACATGTTCAGTGTACAAATCTCCATCATCTTAAAGTCGCTTTTACACATACATTTTTAACACTGACTGATTTCATTCTATCGCCAGTTCATTACATCAAATGCGAGGATACAGGATATTCATATATGATGTACTTCTTGGAAGTTTTCTAAAACAATTTGAAACATAATGTGTTTTATTGAATCTAATAATATATATACCACTCCATATGTGTAGCAACTTACATATTCAGGAGACAAATCTAAATCGTCTTCGAGTCGCTTTTGCACATACATTTTTTTAACCTGATTGAATTCATTATATCTTCAGTTCATTATACATCAATACATCAATCAAGTTCATGCATATATGACATACTGTTCCCAATTTTAGAGGTTTTCTAAAACAATTATAAATATAATGTATTTGTTACCAAATAATATATATACAGCAACTATATATGAATCAACTTACATATTAAGAAGATAAATCTCCATTATCTTCAAGTTGCTCCTAAACATACATTATTTGAGCCTGTCTAAAGATCTGTATATTGTTCATCGTTTCATTCCAATTTTGTACGACTTCTGAAATAAATATGAACATGGCATACGTGTTTGCTGTTTATATATATTTGTATAGCTATTATATTTGTAGTGACTTACATATTCAAACAATCATTCTCGATCCGCTTCTCAACCGACTAATTTAAGAGATTTAAGAAGTGAGGTTATGTCGAACACATGGATATGTTAATGTCTTAATTTAGTAAAATAATTATTTTAACCTTGATAAACGATCCTTATTATTGTCCTCAGATTTTGTAAGATATGCTATTTGGTTACCTCCTTTGTCATCTAAAGAAATCGACATAAAATAACGTTTCTTCATCCCAGGATATAATGCACTAAATGGAATTCAAAATCGTGAAGTAATTACATATCTATATAAATAATATATGATATACTTACGGTGTCATTTTTCTACACTTTTCTACAATTATCATAAACAAGTTGCTTAACTAAACGAATGTAATTATTATACTAAAGAAAATATAACTTGATGCATGATAAATTCGTGACATTTGCGCCATTTTGTAAGCGGTTAGTTTAGCTTTCGTCAAAGAAACAGTCGGTTCCACCAGTGGCCACGGCGCGCTGATGTAAAGCTTTCTTTGTATGGTCACACACACCAGCACACAACGCACACAACGCAGCGCACGACGCGTTTGCTTCACGCCGTGTGACGTCATTGATTATGCTTTGCATGTGTGCTAACACACACCAGCGCACGACATGTATCTCACATGAAATTCAACGATGTCATCACCCCCGACAGCGCGTGTTTATGTCTCGTGAGACAACTCAATGCGAGCTTTGCGTGTATTGTAACACACACAAGCGCACGCAAGTTTAAAATCCTCTTGTGGCGTAGATTCGATAACCGCATTATAATAACGATGTCGATATTATAGAAGATCACATCGCGTGTTTACTGGGGAAGAATTAGCTCGGCCGATCGTGACGCAAAACTGTAGTTATAGTTATTATATTTATTTATAATAATGCGTGTTTTTACCAAGTTTCATCGAGGAGTTTTTAAATTATCAAATCAGCTCAACAGTTTTTTTAAAAAATCTTGACGAACGATCATATTTGGTCCATACATACACTGATACTATTCCAATTTTGGTATTAAATGATTCAGAATGACTTCAAACGCCGAGTAAACATAAAATTAGCATATTGGCTTTACTGGCCAAAACATAATCTCGTTCAGGAAGTTAAAAGTAATTCACACGAAGTTTGTAGCTCTACGGTGACTAATTAGACATTAATGTATAAAGCTGAATTTTTATATATTATATAAATACAGATACAAATATGTGTGTATTTTCATATATGCATACAATCGGTGTGATTGATTATTATGTTATCATTTAAAGGTTGATGTGCAAAATGGTGAAATATTGAAAACAGTTATTATTCCCACACCACAAGTGACATCAGTTTGCTTTGGAGGAAAAAATCGTGATATTTTGTACGTTACAACATGTTCTCTTGGACCTAATAATAAATCACTAGGTCAGCCTGCAGGCGCAATTTTTGAGGTGACTGGTTTGGGTGCTAAAGGTCTTCTTGCCAATACTGTTCGCTTAGACAACTAATTCTTGGTCCAAAATTGAATATTATATATATATATATATATATATATATATTTTTAATATATTTTTAATATATTTATATTATATTTTTGTTATAATTAAACAAGTTGTGAAAAGAAGAAAACAGTTTTATATTTTTTATGGTGATGGTACATAGGTTCTACTTTCAATAAAACATAACAAAGTTTTCATCCATCTTTCATAAGCGTAATAAAAATCAGTATCACCAAAATCTAAAATTTATTCACGTTCTGTGTTCAGATATAATTCTTTGTTGCCAAGACGTTTTATCAATAATTCGCAAACGAATATCGCAGTAGAAATTATCATTCCCAACGTCCATGCGACCAGAGCCCCGGAAATGTGGTCTGGTCTTAACTTTACAGGTCCGGAATGGTCGTGCATAGTATTCGATAATAAAATACCTAATTGAACCTTATTATTTAAGTATTTAATTGAAACCTGCGAAAAAAACCTGTTTGAAATCTCAAAAATCGCGGAATAAAAATGGAAAATATAAGTTTACCTTGAATTCCCAAAATGCTGGCAATCCTGTTTCTAATATTCTTAAAATATGCATGTTATAGGAATCCAAAAATGGTGAACTTTTAGGCATCATTGCCACACACTGCTCCCAATAAATATCTTCCTTCATCAATCGCAGACGATCGATGTATTCTTCTTTTATATAATCTCCTACCGCAAAATGATCTATATATGCAATACATATGTAAATATTATGTATTTAATATGCAATTAAAAAATAAATAAAACCTGAAGGTAATCTTTCGACACTGAAAGCAAAATCTCCGGAACGTTGTCGCTTAATCAATTGGTCATCATTCAATTTTCTGAACATGGATCGTAAATGAATTAATTCCGGCTGTGGATGGAAGATAAATGTCTACATAAATTTTATATGGGCATAAAGTTTACAACTGAGAATTTTCAATTTAGGGCGTTTGATATTTAAATTATAACGTTATAACGGTTTCCAATTTTTTTTAAGTTTTATTTTTTGTTATTTTTTCTATTTAAAAACTTAAGAAATTACGATATCATAATATCTACTTAAAGTTACCTAAAATTTTTACCTCTTCTGCTGCCACTAAAGAATAAAGCCAAGCATCGGAGTTTGCTCCCCATTCCATATTCTTTGATGACAAATCTTTTACTGAATCGATTGGTGGATCGTGTCTACAATATTCCGTAAAAATATACAAAACTTATGTTATACAAGCTTTATGTATGCAAAATTCAAGCTTTATGTGTGCAATTAATACATAAATAATATAAAAAGCGGTCTAGATAGAATCATGATTGCTTACACTGGAATAGTCATAATACTGGACAAGCCGCCAGCATATGCATTTGACAACATCAAGGCCAGTAATAAAATTCCTGATACGATAAATCTAAAATATAACAAAACACAATTGAATTAGAAGGTAACCCAGTGGTTTTCCTTTTGATAGGAACATAATTTATTTTATTGCAACATTGCCGGTAAAAAGCTATGTAAAGAAGACTTTATCTAGATAAGTTTCCCTATCGTTCAGAATTTTGAAAAACATATTTCATTTAAAATATTTATATATTCAAATTAAAATTAATAAATATTTTCCATCTTACCTGTTATATTTTAAGCTATCGGCATCCGGCGGAGGTTGTAAAAGTAAATATCTTATAATAAAGATCGTTTCGTTTTCTATACTTGTGTATGGGGTATTTTTAAATTTATCAGAAATATAGGAAACAATTACTGATACTGCTATAGAAACAATAAGCCCAAGCCATAATTTTGAAGAAAAAGGTCTTATTGGAATCGACCATCCCGGACGTAATCTGTAAAATTAGAAAATCAATAATTACTTACATAATAGTAAGAAAATAATAATATTAAGTTAATAACTCTAGTCTAATGACCTTATTATCCTAAGATTCTAGATGAGTTTTTGATTTTGATGAAACTTTGCACAACGATAGATTTCGATGTATGAAATAACAGGCTAAAATATTTCAGGCCTACGATAAGCGGTTGAATTATAAAAAATATGAAATAAAAAAAAATGTAATAAATAAATAAATTTGATTTATACAACTACAGATTTTATAAAAGTATGTTTGAAAGACATTGGAAATCGTTTTGATTATTTTGTAGTGAAACAGAAAATGCTATTTCTTAAACAGTTATGTTTACCTAAATAGCTGAATCTCAATTTTTATTGATAAAATTTATTACGTGTACATATCTGGAAGTTTGAAGCCTTAAGGCAAAATGCTATTTACAATTAGTTATAATTTTTATTGTGAGATATGTTTACCATAAACCATTTCATCTGCTCCATATATATTTAAGTAAAAAACGAGAATATTATGTCTAAATAAATAAATCTAAAACAGAACTCTTATTGTTAGCAAATGAGTTCGCTTGTAACTCCAAAGATTTTTGAGAATATAATTTTTTTTCAATGTGGTATACCTACTCTATGTTTATAGATTTCCAGCATTGTACGTACAATTTAGTATGAACAAGAATTTTCATTATTTTTTGAAATATGTAAATATATTTTATTTACTTTGGTATAGGTGCTATAACTGTAATACCAGTTCGGACCATCGGAAGAGAAAGATCCAGAAATTCATATTCGTGATACCATGAGTATACTGATCCCACGCCTAAATCCACTTTTCCTTCGGAAAGTGTACCAAGAATTCCTATTCCAGTGCCATTTTCATATATTTCTCCCCATTCTTCTTCATCGACTACGAATTAATAGATTTGTATGAATTATAAGGAAATATTATTTCAATGGTGATTGACAGAACTAATTCTTACCACCAATTAAGCTAATAGTGCAATTATGTTTATTGCAGAATTCTAAACAAGCTCGAAGTTCCGTTCCATCAATAGAAACTGTTCCATAACTTTCTGGACCTTCTTCTAAATATCCGGCGTTTCCGCCGGATTCCACTCTTGTCCAAATAGCATACGGTTTATAATTAAATGTTACAATTTTTAAATTTCTTCCTGAAAAGATCAAATATTAAATATAGATAATAAAAATACCTATTTTTATACGAGTACCTTCCATATCTGATATTTTATTCGAAAATAAATGTCGATCAGAACGGAAACTTGCATTATACCACATGTTTAAATATAATTCTTCTGTGTGGTTGTATTTTCCACCATATTTTGTTGTTGATAGCTTGTATGAATTTTGAGAAGATTTTGTTATAACGATAATATTAGGAAAATCTAGGAAAAATAATTAAAAGACATTTATATTAAACATTATTAAGTATGTCCTATATTATTTTACCTTCAAATAGTTGATGTTCCAAAACAGTGGATTCATTTTGTTGCTCTTCATTCAGAATGATGATCATTTTTCTATCACATATTCTTCGATCAGCTTTAGAGACAGCATTTATATACGAGTTTAAAAATATTTCAATTCCATCTCTATCAATTATATTTATTATGTACGCCTAAATTTAATCAAATTGTTAATATTATACTTTTATAAGATGATTATCGAGAGTATTTTTAATAAAGAATAGAGATTACAATGTTTATTATACTTACTTCGCAACCAGCATTTAATGAATTTAGCACATTTTCTGTTAAATTACTTTCATTTTGAACATCATACATAATTATGGGACTATTCCATAGAAAATTATTCACAGAATTATATTCTCCATTGACTGTTTCTTCAAATATTGCTATGCAGTAAGCATTTTGCAAATATAGCAAAGCTGTAATATGAAAACTATCTTTCATATAAAATTATAAAAGAAAATAATTAATTCAGATATGCTAAGTTCAAGGAGTCGACAAATATATTTGAATTAAAAATTGTTCCTGTGAAGGATGACTGTATCAGAAAAATGTGAAAAGGTAAATAAACTATTTTTAAATTGCTTTAAATAAGTGTGTATAGTTTACGCTGTTATTAGTTTGATTCACAATTTAATATTTATTTACATTTAATACTAACATTTTCAAACTACATATTAAGTAAAATATTCAATTTCGATACCTATTTTTTCAATCAACTGAACAATTTCATCCGTTGTAATATTTAAAATCATTGCTCATAATATATTTGATTTTCTTTGAATTATACAAAATATGAATTTTTCTATTGAATTTAAATTTTAAACTTTTCGTTATGTGATTTAATTGTAATTTTTTAACAAACACGCGTATTGTGATTTAAAGTTTGTACCCGTTTATCACATACAACTTCAAAAATAAATATACACATATCAAAACCTCCCATATTTATAGATACTCAATAATAATTATAAATAACCGATAGACATATATTATAATTCTTGTCGAAAACATTATAATAGCTTGAAATGGAAAAATAATTAACAAGAATCTGATTTGAGTTTTTTATGGAAAGTATGGTAAAACATGCATGATGAGTTCCAGATGCACGTCAAAAATAACTAACTTTGAATTATTTATTTCAATTGATATTTCTGGAAAAATATTGGAGAAATAACCACAAATAAAAACATATGTAGGAAAATATTTTTATTTTTTTAAATCTATTATTAATGATTGTTCTAGAATTGATGGGTACCTTGCAAGCATACTTATTGTATAAATAAGGGATCGTTCAAGTATTACGTAAGCAGATTTATTACAATTATTTACCCCCCCCCCCATCCCCCTTGTCAGCAAAAGTAAGCAAAGCTCTTACCCCCTACTCCCATGATTACGTAAAGATTTTGCAATTAATGTAAAAAAATAAAAATACTACCTATGACGTAATCATCATCCAGACTCCCCTGCCCCCTATTTCAACCCAAAATAAGCAAATCAACAACCCCCCCGCCCTCCTATAGCGCTTACGTAATACTTGAAGTAATAAATATAATATCTAAAATAAGTTATAATTCTTTTATATTTCTCTTACTTGGTCGAATTAAATCGCAAGTTTACGCAACAAAATGCATTCTTATTTATCTTTATTTCTGTGGTGTTTCAATAAAATAGTAAAATAATTAAATATAAATATCGGATATTAAAATGTGCATGATAATCTTTTTATTACTATTTCTGGATTTATGACCATCGTCTTTCAATATTAATATTTCTATTATTTTGCAAATAAGGGAAGAGTGTAAGAGAAGAGTGTAAATTTCTACCAAACCGTACACTTGAATTCGGATACCAAAAATTATTCTTGAATTCAACTCAATATATCTGATCTCAATATATCAATATATCTGATGAATAATTGATTATTGTAACAGATCTGCTCTAAGGCAATTCCATTGTGTTATGCTTGAATTTTACCCATTTTACCTTCGTTAACGTATTAACAATTGTTTATAGTTAAATTCTATTGATGCTAATTGATTATTATTATTATTATTGTTATATATATAATATATGATGTATATGTATAATAAATGTTAGTTTTCCTGAAAGACCGTCTATGGTGTGGGAGCATCACAAAGTTAATGATTCCTTTTTTACCTCCTTTGTTTATTTAAGTCATCAATCATATGCCTTCGCTTTTTCTTCCCATTCCTTTCAGTCCTTCTATTTCATCTTCGACTATGTCATGCAGGAAGCATTTGTTTGCAGAACGAAAGGATTGTTCCCAGAACAGTCCTTTCTTCGTTGACTCTTATCAGGACTTCTTCATTTGTTACCTTATCTGTCTACTTTATCTTCTCTATTCCCCGCCAGCACCACATTTCAAAACTCTCCAGATAGTTCTTGTCGGCGTTTCTTAGAGTCCATGTCTTCCATCCGTACAGAGCTATTTTCCAGACGTAGCACTTTATTAGCCTCTACGCAGGTCGAGACTCGAGTTTGCTAGTCAGTACCGTTCTTCGGGAATGCCGCCTTGGTGCTCGCGATCCCTGATCTCTCTATGCAGTATCCGTCTATGGTCAGGATGATTCCCAAATATTGGATATGGTCTAGAATCTAGATATTTAATTATCTATTTCCTACCATTTTCCATCATCTCGTTTTGATTTTTCCATTCATTTGTCGATGTTGATCTCTGTTCCATATCTTAAGATACTTGTACCCACTTCGACGATTCTGCTCATCATGTTTTGTAGCTCGGGTTCGGTTTTCGATACATATATACAGGAGCGGTTCAAAGGTCCTCAGCGCTCGCATGCAATTTTTTCCTTGGTGCCCCTTTTCCTCTATTTTTTCAACTGTTTTAACAGTTTGTCATTAAAATTATACGAAAAATACGTGTTATGACGCCCCCTCGACATTGTGCCCGCATTTTCCGCATGCATTGCTTTCAGGGTAGGACCGGCCCTGCATATATATATAACATCAATAAAAAACATGAATTTCTTTTAAAAATTTATTTTAAATCCATACGTTGTAAAATTTACATCTTCAATCAGTCTACGAATAACACACTATCCATTTGTGATTTTTTCAAATCAGTATTTTGTGAAAATATTGTGTAATTTCAAGTTAATGTTTATAATACATAGTGTAGTGCATTACCATATCCTAATACCATGGATTATTAAAATTCTCCAAATTAACACTAAGATCTACTAATTTTTCCACTGAATGAAGGCTAGGATTATAGCCGAAACGTATGGATTTAAAATAAATTTTTGAAAGAAATTCATGTTTTTTATTGATGTTATGCCCGATTATTAGACTTTGTTAATACATATGTCAACATCAAATTCAGAATCATACAATATATATATATATATATATATATATATATATGTGTGTGTGTATATATACAGGTAAATCCCGTATAACACGGTAGATACGATCTAAAAAACTAGCGTGCTATGCGAATCCGTGTTATACGGGACAAAGAACTAGTACAGAGGATTCAAAAAACATGCTACATATCATGATTTCTTGATAAATATTGTTATATTTATTATTTTTTTAAAGATGTAATATACATTATTTGAATAATATGATTTAGTCATAAATTAACAATAAGTAAGCGCTATTCAATGCGATTATCCTTTTTTGCAAGAAATCCTCATTCTTCAAGGTGTAAAACGATTTCTTGCTTTTAGCGAAAAGATATTTGTATATTTACCACATACAGAGATATCTAAATTAATATTTTATGCTCATTAAAGGATTTTTGTTTAAGACTAATTGTTAACGGAACCTAAACCTAGATTTTTTTTCGATAGAACGTACGCGCTCGAATAATAAATATCAAATTAGACATGTTTTGCATAGTTTCATCACATTTATTGAGCTTTTAAAAGTTTTATTTTTTCGGTTTCGCTATATTTTGTATTTTATTAGGGTATTGCTTAATTCTCAAACCGTAGAGCGAACACGTGTTGGAGCGAAATCGCGTGTTATAGAAGTACCGCGTTATGTGGGGGTTTCCTGTATATATATATATATATATATATATATATATGTGTGTGTGTATAAGCATATATAATTATAAAAAGGACAATATCTTGCATTATATGTTATTTGTCGGCGCATGCGGGCTCTATTCTAGTGCGTGCATGTCGCATTTGTGCGCATTTGATCTATTTTCTCAACCCCTTTACCCTATTCTCAGTACCAACATAAGAATAGAAGAAAATGCGTGCTCGGAAAATATAATACCAACGTAAGTTTGCAATATCACTATGGAGAGAGAATTAGGGTGAAGAATCGAGACGCCATCGATTTAACTATTTTGCATGTTATCTGTTATTTTTCACCTAATTACAGGATTGTCTTTGTTTTTGTTTTTCCTACACTACATATACTATATTTGCTGTAAAATATTATCGTACGCAATGCAATCTGAGGATGCCAAGTTCTTGAAAAGGTAAGTTTTTAGCACGCGTCTCTTGCGAAAATCTTATGTCAACTTGACGTTTGGTGACGTTTGTTATATTTTTGATAAACAGAAAAGTCAAATCTGGTGCAATCGATGTTCATCCCACAGAAAGTGCTCTAATTGTAAATTATGAAGTGGAAGCTACATTACTCGGTGAATTAGGTGACCCTGTATTAGGCGAACGCAAGGTATTTGATCCATATATGTTATATATAGCACGGCACAATCAATACTATTTACTTACAAATTACACACCTGTGTCATTTCTGACCTTGGTTTCTTTGACGATTATAAGCCAAAACATTATTTTTCCAGTCACTTTATAATTTATATTCTATTTGAAGGGTTGTCAAAAAATTATTAGGCTAAAAAATTTGAGTGCGAAGACAGATTGCGCGGCTTTGGCGCAAGAAGTTATAGAGAAATGTAATCTAATACATATGACCAAGTTGAAGGATGTTGAGCACTTGATATGTTATCTCAAACATCGCAATAGTAATTTTAATGGTGAGTCATTGAGTTGTAAATTGAGAAATATTGATATAATTTAATGTGGTTTGAATTTATTTATTAGATCGGTCTGTGAAGTCTCCACAGCAAAATAGTGGTTCTATGAGTCCAGGAGAAAAACCTGACGGAATGACTGAAAAAGCTATTATTGGAAATATTGAAGAATATGTTGAACTATTGTATGAAGATATTCCAGAAAAAATCAAAGGCTCAGCATTACTTTTACAATTGGCAAGGAATCCTGACAATCTATTAGGCTTATCTCAAAATGGTAACTATTTAATTCTTTGCATAAAAAGGGTGTTATATATTTTATAAATATAATTCATAATATTATAATATATTAGCTTTTTATGCACATATGATAGTTGGTAGATGTTTCTAAAACTATCATAAAGCATTTAAAATTAGTTCTAGCTTTTGAATCAGACAAAATATTTATTCAGTTATTAATAAAGGCAGTTGATGCTCTACAATATTTATTATTAATTCTGGATATTTTTTATAATTAAATTATTTGTGATTTAAAAAAAAGTATGAAAATTGTTCAAACTGCAATAATAAATTAACAAATCTTTCAACCAATTTTAGAAACTGTATTATGTGCATTATCCAGAGTTTTACGTGAAGATTGGAAACGAAGTATAGACTTAAGTACAAATCTCGTATATACATTTTTTTGTTTTTCGACTTATACAAGGTTTCATCCAATCATTTTGCAATATAAGGTAAATACTATAAAGTAGTACAATAGTAAGTACTATAGCTTATGTGTCTTTGAGTAAATATTTAAAAAAATGTGAAAAATTTCAGATTGGATCACTATGCATGGATGTTATTGATTATGAATTAAAACGATATGACCAATGGAAAAATGATATAGAAACAAGGAAAAAGTTATGTGAAGGTATGAGTAGTTAAATTTATTTTTATGTTATATCAATGTTAAGAAATCATTCTAAATTCTTGCTTTTCTGCCTTTATTTTTAGTTTGAATTTAATATTAATATGAATTGTAGGACAAATTTTACAAAATGGCATAATATTTTATGTCAATTTAGTTTGTAAATCAGACTAATATTTGAACTTGTATTTATACTAATCAGTAAAAAATATTTCTGTAATATTGTCTTTTTTTATAATTATAGGCAATAATATTAGCACTGAAAATTTGAATAATGAAGCAACAATGAGTATTGAAGATATCAAATCACCTATTCTTGTAAGTTGTTATCATGAGTAACAAGTAATTGTTTAAATGTCATTCTTATCTTATTCATTTTTCAATTAGCCCGATCCCCCAAAACGAAGAATTCCAGAACTTAAGCAAAGGCCCAAGTCAGGAAACTGGACAGATCAGAACTCTTTGATTAGATCTAAACTTATGAACAATAGCTATCATGAAAACCTATGCAGTGATATTGATTTGCAAACAACAACAGATATTAAGAAAATTAAAGAAGATTTTGATAAAATGAAGCGTCAATTCAAATCGCTTACCAGAAAACAAGAACAGTTGTTACGAATAGCCTTTTATTTATTAATAAACATTGCTGAAGATGTTAAAGTTGAAGAAAAAATGCGAAAAAAGAATATAGTTGGATTATTAGTAAAAACATTGGAACGAAATAATTTTGAATTGTTGATCTTAATTGTGACTTTCTTAAAGAAATTGTCAATAGTTGCTGATAACAAGGATGATATGAGTGAATTGAATATTATAGAAAAATTGCCTAGGTTACTATTAAGTTCAAATCAGGATTTAGTTCATGTTTCATTAAAGTTGTTATATAATCTTTCTTTCGACTCCAAATTGAGGTTAAAAATGATACGTGTAGGATTTTTACCAAAATTGGTCAGCTTGTTAAGTAAGTATATTATAATAATGGAAGAATATATCTTAGTAAAAATAATTAATTTGTATTTTATAAAATGATATGTCTGTTTGTAGGTGATGATAAACATTACAATATTGTGATCAAAATTCTCTACCATTTGAGTATTGATGATAAGGTGAAATCGATGTTTACATATACTGACTGTGTTACTTTGGTGAGTACTTTTGTCATATATTATATACTACAATATATATATATATATATATATATATATATATATATTGCATATTTCTTTATGTGATATTGAATTTTGTCTATTTTTCCAGGTTACTGATATGTTGTTACTTTGCATGGAAAAAACTGTTGATATGGATTTAATAGCTTTGTGCATTAATCTTGCTGTGAATAAAAGAAATGCCCAACTAATGGTTGAAAATAACAGATTACAAGACCTGATGTCCAGGGCAGTAAGATTCGAAGATTCTTTAATAATAAAACTACTGAGGAATATTGCTATGCACGATACAACAAAACATAAATTTGTGGTAAGAGAAATATAATTTAATTTCAATTTCCATCTAAAACTATTTAGATTTATTTAAAATTTACATTATATTTGTTTTGTTATTTTTTAACTTTTTGATTTAATTTTTTTTTGATGTTCATTGCTTATATTTTTGCATGCAGTTTTACTTTCACTTTTTTCAACAATTTGACTGTCACCTCTTTTATAAATATCTTATTCATAATTTTTTGAGCAATTTTAAAAACTATATATTTTATATTTTTAGAAATTTATAGATGATATAACAGGAGTTCTAACAACTAGTGAGAATGAAGATTTTGTAGTGGAGTGTGTAGGTTTACTGGGATGTCTTGCACTACCTGAAATTGACTACACTATATTACTTCAAAATTATAATTTGGTTCCTTGGATACGGACCAATTTAATACCAGGTTTGATATCTTTATTCGTAGATAAGGAAATGTCTTTATTAAGGAATATATTAAGATAAGGAAATTGTCTTTATTATTAGTGCAATGTGTAACATTGCAATTTTCAATCATAGATCGTGAATGAATATGAATCATAGATATGAATTATTCTTGTTTTTTAACTGCTCCTTATTTTATAGGCAAACGTGAGGATGATTTATGTTTAGAAGTTGTGGTCTTACTTGGTACAGCTGCTTGTGATGAAGCTTGTGCTATGTTACTTTGTAAAGCTGATATTTTGCTATCCCTAATTGAGCTATTAAAGGCAAAACAAGAAGATGATGAAATTGTTCTACAGATAATATTCGTATTTTACCAAGTCCTGAGGCATGAAAGTACAAGAGAGTACCTGACAAAAGAAACTGGTATGATTTTAAAATATCATTTTTATTGGGTTTGTTTATATGTTCAACGTATAATAGAAAGTGTTGTTATATATAAGATTTTGTAATATATTCAATGATTTTTTTTAATAGATGCTGCTGCTTATCTAATAGATCTGATGCACGATAAAAACACAGAGATTCAAAAAGTTTGTGATTCCTGTTTAGATATCATTGCTATATCTGATGAAGGTTGGGCATCCAGGATTAAGGTAAGTTAACATTCAAGATATAAAAGATGCAATTGATATGTATAAAATATTCTGGTTTCTTTCTATGTGTGTTTGGTTAAAGTTCTCTTAAATGTTTGTTAAATGCTTAAATATTTATAAGTTAATACTGTTTAAATATTTTATTCTATATTATAATATTATTGCAGTTGGAAAAATTCCGTGAGCATAATAGTCAATGGCTGAACATGGTTGAATCTCATGCAGTAGATAGCCATGATTTTGATCCCAGTGATGAATTAGATTTGCCTGCCTATCTTACAACCGACTTTATGAGTAACGATATTCCTCATGGACCTGGTAAGTTCAATAAACTTATCGTTTTTTTTATTGAATTAATGTTTGCCTTCTTCAATTTTTTAAACTATTAAAACTATTACCATTCTGCAGGTTCTGGCTCGGATTCTCGGGCTTCTTTAAACAACGACGATTGCGATGCGTTCCGTGCAATTTCTGCTTTAGACAACTATAGTAGACCGGGCAGTCGGTGAGTGAATAAATTATATTTATTTAAAATCATCTTAGGTATTATCATATGAATTATACATTAAAAAATATCGCTATAATTTAAAAGCTTAATTATGATCTTGTGCACGGTTATGGAAGTCATTTATGTAATCAAATGCATTGTGATTCAATAATTTAGCATGTATTTCTATTGGTGATTTCGTATACTTTAATTATGTAGAAAAAAATATTTTAGATGCACGGATTATATCTCCTTTTAATTATTATACTATTTGTTTAATAATATTATTAAGGGGAGTTGGATAATACCTTAGCATTTTAACTTACATTAGCATATTAATTAAATAATCTATTGATGTTTAAAGATACACGCAAAATTTACTTTTTTGAAACCGGACAAACAAAGTTAGAAATATAGAAATGCTAAGTTTAATTCAATGTCTATTTTGGAGCACTCAAGAGATTTTATTATTCAGTGTTTCAATTTTTATAATACATTTTTAAAAATGAGTATATCAAAAATAGAAAAACTATTACGATGTTTTCGAAGTTTTTCTCTTGTTCTATTAACACCGTTATTTAGAATTTTATTAATATCCAACTCTTCACTCATTAGAATATGAATCAAATTGAGTAAGGACTTCCGTTGGATTTTTAACACTTTATTATAACTATCCTTCTCATGATTTTCATATAGTGACAAATAATACCTGAAAATATGTTAGAATATAATATAGTATTGGAAAACATAGTTTTTAACATATAACTTTATTGGAATTCGTTCGTAAAAAGGTCAGGTCTGCCGCCAATCCAGAATAAGAGGCACGCTGCAATGTTGCCTGCCAGTTTTCGAAACCCACCGGTAAATTATTATATTTTTTTAATTTCTACAAATTTGGACAAAGAATTTCAAATCGTGTTTTTGCGTTTGATTTTTATGTGCATTAAATTTTCACCGATCATATATAATGTTTATACACATAGTGGACTTGCAGATTGTCACTGTGTGAAATTCATGTGTAAATAATAATTCATTCAAGCATTTGGATTATTTAAACATATTTGGAATAATCTCTATTTTTCACTAACAAGGCTTTTTATGTGTTGAGATTTAAAGATAATTTTTTATAAGTAAGAGTAGTTTATTAATTAGTACAAGTAGTTTTACGCACGAGATAGTTTCTTTTGACGAAATGAATGTATGTATGTATAATAATAATATTCACTATGCATGGAACTAAAAGATGCTAATTTAAGTTATAAATTATGCCTTTCATCGATGTTTAAGCGCATTGAGCACATACTAGAAGCTAAACAATTGTAAGCTATTATTTTAAGATATTGAATAGTGAAGATAAAATTAAGGCTGTTCTCACACGGGTTGCGCAATTAAGTAATAATTGTAAGAAAGATTATAACTTATATAAGCATTTAAATAAGTAATTTTAGTAAATTAAGAATTTCACCAATAATCTTTCGTTTTGTTGCGATTTGTGTTATGCATGTAGTTGAAAAATGTGAAATTAATTTTATCAAGAGTTTTGAATAAATATTAAGACGATAATGTTCTGATGTTGATATCACGATTGAAAATTATTATTATACATATTTTTCTCCAAATGAGTTTCAACAAAACACGCCAAACAAAATATTTAAATTGCTCGCTTTTCATTATGAACATATGAGAAAAGTACCATTGCAATTAGAAAGATTTTTTTTTGAAACAATTGCCATTTCATTTTTTTGGAACCGAAGAGATTTGCACATTTCGAAACTAGACAAAAAATATCCTTTATAGAACGAATAAAATTTATAGTAAACTGATTTATCTGAAAGATTTTATTTTCTAACTCATTCAAACGAGAAAAGCCATAGCAAACGATAGCTTTCATACATACATACATTTTCGATTTTTTGTGCCAAACGATTCAGAATGGCAATGACTGTGAAGTGTAAACATAAAATTTGTGAATTTTATTTTCGGGCGAAGATATTGTAACTGATTTTAATCGATTAGTCTATACATCTTAATGTATATTACGATAGATTTTTTCCTTTTTTGATAAAAATTCATTAAATCTAAATAAACATAAATTTGTCTCTGTTTTGAATATTAGAAATAGACTATTAGGTATTTTCTCAAGACAAAAAATGCATTGAATTGATTTAAGTTTAGATATTTTAGTATGTGTTTTAGTATGCTTGAACTGCTTTTTAAAATAATCATAATTTTCTATGGCCAAAATTTGTTTGAGTTTTATTATTCATTATTTTGAATGATCTTCCACATAATATACTAATTAACATACAATTTAGCAAATTATGAGTATCGAAAATACAATTTTTTCGATACTCATAAATACTCGCATTTTTTACAAGTTTTTTATGCATTATATTGGAACCAGTAGTATAATATTTTAGAATATTTTTGAAAGATAATTGTTGTATGTGTAAATATATAAAATATGTTTCATATATGCCTAATTAACTCGTAAGTACTCGTTCGCACTTACTAGTGAGAATATGATTTGTGATGTAAGAAAAATGGATTTGTAATAAGGATATCTTCTATATTATAATATAGATTTAAGTTATAACTAACCAATAATCTGAGAAAACATTGATTTATGTATTTACTTTATAATTTATTATTATGCATTTTATATTTGATTTATTTTGCATACGTATATCTTTTTGTTTTTTGTTGCTCGCTTTTGACCCTTGAGAAATCCATTATTCTTGTGTGTATAAAAAGATTGCCATTAATTTTATTTTTGTTATTTTCCAGTGCATGAATTTTTGCAAGTATTTTGGTATTAGTATTTTGCCTTGAGGCAAGTTACATGAACTTCCAGAAATGTGTAAATAATCGACTTAATCAATAAAAAATAAATTAAGTTATGAGTGACTATAAGTATTCCGAGTGTATTTATTACACATCATTGAAAACGAACGAACGAACACGTTAACTCGGAGTTTTTTCTAAAAGCAAATTTTCAAAAATCAATAATGTTTATAATTGGACCAATTTCTGTAGGACTTTAATGCTTCAATATGTATATCAAGACCAAGTACGCTATCGTTACACCAAATAAATCGTCTAATTTTAATTTAACAAAGGTCAAAAAACCTACTCATTTTCTCAAATTTTGATGAATTTTTAAAATTATACTACTTGTCGTAAGGCCGTAATATTTCAGTAAGTTTTATAAGACCATGATATATATCGCCAAAAAAAGTTCCATAAAAATCGGCTTACATTTTTTTTCAACAGTTAATTACAAGAAAACGGCTCGGTAGATTTTCACCTAAATCTAATCAGTATCATTCCTAACTATGATCTTTTGAACAGTTTTTAATTTTTTTAAATCGATTCTGTAGTATGAGCTTAAATGTTGACGAAAAGTTTTTTTTTTTTAATTACAAAGGCTTGGCCGATCACAGCATAAGACCGACAAACGATGGTCCTTATTGAGATGCATAAAATGGCTTTTAAATTTCTGAAATCGGTTCAGGCGTCTTTGAGAAAACGTTGATCAAAAGTCTAATTTTGACAAATGCCAAAAAACGATACTAATTTTTGCAAACTTTGAAGAATGTTTAAAATTAAACGACTTGTCGTAGGGCCGTAATATTTTAGTGTGATCTAAAAGACTATGGTATTTACCGTCAATAAAAAATCATAACTAGCTGTAAGAGGAATTCTGAGTTAAGGCAATTAAGGCATCGTGCCCTTAAGGCAAATTGCTGGTACTTTCCGTACCAAAAATTATTTTTCTTAAAAACGATTAACATTTTTGAAAAAAAATTATTTCGAAAAAAAAGATATATGAGAAACTAAAAATTTGACAATTTTTTGAAAAAAAAATTAAAAAAAAAAATATTTTTTTTTGAAAAAAAAATGTTCTATTTATTTTGACATATTTTGGAAAATCTGAACTTTTTTTCAAAACAATCGTACTACTTTAACTGCATAGAGGCAAAATATAAAGCGCGTAAGCGCCGCGTCGCTGTCTAACGGATAAACATTGGTACGGAACCGATAGAAATGTAAACAAAATATATATTTATTGTTAAAATCTCTATAAAATATGTGATAATTTGATGTGCATATGTTTAATGATCATTTTTGACCGCCAAATGGCATTTTTTTACTTTTTTCGTTAGAACTCCGAAATCGCAAGACCTGCCCCTATGCAAATTTGACCAGTTCTTCATCTTGTCAATACAAGTAAAATATTTTTTGAATTAGTAAAATCGGATGCTCCGTTCTCTCAAAAACTGAGGTATCGCTTTTGGCACTTTTTGCCCCGTATCTTCAGAACGGTTAGACCTGCCTTTGCCAAAAACTAATCAGCACGTCTCGTTATCAATACAAATCGAATGTTCTTTGAATTATTCAAATCGGTTGATCGGTGTTTCCGAAATCGTCGACGAAAATTTGTATCCGCACACACATATATACACGCACACACACATACATACATCCATTTTTTCTAAGGTATGCCAAAATATTCAGATACCTCTGAAACGTAAAGATATATAAAAATTTTCATTTTCGATTTTTTTGCGATTACTATAACTTACCCTACGGGAAGTTAAAAAACATAGTTTTTTATTTAAAAAAAACTTTATTACAGGAAAACGGCCCGGCCAATCTTTATCAAAAACTAATCAGCACGATTCCGAACCAATATCTATCGAACGGTTTTTGAATTTTTAAAATCAATTTAGTATTCCGGGCTAAAACGTGGACGAATTTTTTCTCACTTAACTAATATCTTTCGAACAGTTTTTGATTTTTTAAAATCGATTCGATAGTATGAGCTTAAATATGCACGAAAAGTTTAACACTTTTTTGGTATTTTGGTATTTTGGTTATTTTTAAATTGCTGTGTTTTCGTGTTGAAGCATACTTTAAGAAACTTGGCTCAGTGCCTTTCCATATAAAGAACCGGAATGATCTGTATAGGTGATTAGCCGCCAATTTTTATATTTTTGAAAGTTTTTTTAAAAAAGATGTTTACTGAGATGATTTGTGTCAATTTATTACATTTTGACTATCATTGATCAATGATCAAGTTCGAATTTGATCTTAGTTTAAATATGGTTTGAATATTTATTGGCAGTATGAATATAGTGACGTCAAATTCACAAGACATCTCTTTCAAGCCAAATAATGAATATCAGCTGTACAATTCATGCAACGCAAATAATATTCCTTTAAAGCGAAATATGTTTTGGCAAAAATATCTTATAGTCCAAGAGTCAAGGATAAAGAGTCGTATTTAACAACTACGTACAGCGGCAATGGTTAAAATATTTTTTATATTTATACCAATCGGATTTTGAATATATATAATAACCAAAATGAACCAAGACTGTACTTTTTAATAGAAAATAATAAATTTCTATAAAAAGTGAAAACTTAACAAATATTTCACAGATTCTTGTTAAATTCAATTATTAAATTACTTAATATGGATAAGAATTGAATTAATCGATAAATTTATAAACTGAAGTAATTTTTATATAAATAAAGCAAGGGATTTTTTATAGATCCTTAAAACTCTTGAAGGCCTAAAGTACTCATGAGTCCCTATCCACTTTGTCTTAAGTCCATACTGCCATACGTGATTATTTCAGCTCATTATTTCCAATATTAAAGTAAATATTTAGTTTCTTTATACATTGTCTTTAAATCGATTTACAATTTACAAAATATAAATTCAATATTAATAATAATAATAATAATAATAATATAAATATATTTCAGTAGATATATATGTGTACATAGCATTTCTCATTTTGGATTTTTACCCGTAGGTATTTCATCCTTCATATTTGTTCTATCAATACAAT